AAGTACTTTTGGGTTTAATCCACCCATCAAGACTTCTTTTATAAACTGCTTTGGTTGAGTGTTTCAAATTATTGAAAGAGGAAATATAAACTATATTCACAGCATCTGGTATAAGCCTAAATGATGATATGTTGTTTGACATTAATATGCACATGACATATATTACATTATGTATGTTATGGAATTAGTATTATTTAGTTTTATTGGTATCTTTAATACTAACAAAGACAAAATGGCTAAATAGTACATGAACATATTGCAGTGATGATGCTAAAACAGGAGAGATGGTTAAGGATATCACATATATGAGAAAAAAACCCCAACAAGAAGAGAATATTAAATAAGATTGGTCACAGAGAAAATTCAGACTGTTATTTTAATGCAAGATACAAAAAATTAATTTTAGCAATTAGGGTTGAGACCTTGTCCTACCATATCTGGAACTTCTGGTTTTTTCCTGGCTTTCACCCAAATAGTGTTTCTGCTATTTCTATTCCCAAACTAAGGAATTCTAGTTTAATCTCACTAAACAACATGATACACCAGATTCATAAAACATTGAGAATATATTTGGCATTTGAATATATTTGGAAGGCTCTTTGGCATTGCCCAAGCTTGGTAGTTGCATTACCCAACTAGGTAACATCATCAATGTGATATTCATTTTCTATTTATTATATATTGGGAATATAATTCCCCAGTTAGGAGGTAATAAGAAACTGCATTAATGCAAGGCAAGAGTGATATGGTGAAATATAGTGCATAAAGAAGAAAGGAAAATTTATGAAATCAATTCCATATCTCCCAGGAGAACTTCTAAATTGGAGGTAGAAATTGAAAGTTGGAATGTGATTCCTGATCCTTAGAAGGTAAAATTCTAGTTAAACTTCAGATATAGTATATATTATATAATAATAAAATGAAAATAATTTTATGTATCTGAGATGGCTGTTTTTTATTACTGAAGTGAAAATAGCAATATTGTTAATGATTTCAACTAAGATTATTTTGTCAACTTTACTCAGCTAACACATGTGCTCCCCCAAGTGTCCAAAGTATTATTTTAACTTTGATATAATTTATTTTAATAGAAAGCGCAAAGATTTATATAAGTGATTATGAGATAATTCATTATTTGACATACTATACTTTAAGAAATTGAAGGAGTGATTGAATATGTGAGTAAATATATGTGTGTATATTAAAGGAGTTTACACATAACCATTTCATCCTTCCTATTCAGGAAATACATTCTGATGATTTTCAACAGATTCCTAAACCACAGAAGAAACAAAATTTTAAAATTCATAGGTTTACATGCTGTTTTGTTTCTAATAATTGATGAGAAATAATTTTTTTAAGTCTGAACCCCAGCTGTGTGGGATGGCAAATATAAAGGGATTGACCCTGCGATTCAGGATCAGTAGAAACCTCTGGACATGTCCTGCTTTCCTGCTCTTTTTTTATAGAGACATTCAAACAATTTTTATTTTCTCAACAATTGCTAGGCATTCTCATTCTAATTCTGGTACCGGTTTATATTCAGTAGTTGCTTAAGATATCACATAGAACAGATAGATAGATTCTGTGCAGCAACACTAAAGATTTCCGGAACTTAATAATTCATTATAACCATTTTATATAATTAATGCATCAAATATTTTAATATTATTTCCCTGCTATATTTTAATACCTAATAACTATGCTCTTAAGTGCAACTGATAAATAGGTGCAGATTATGATTTTAATATAGATTTGATTGTTATTTTTCATTACTTTATTCTAGAATCTTAATTAGACACTCTGAGTATTTTTAATTGTACTAGTCTTTGATTGGAATAAATATTTTTGAAAGGCCTTGATTATAACAGAACCATACCCAAAGATCAAGATTATTTATGATACATTGAATGTTTTTGCTTGCAAAAGCGTATTTCCAAAACTGTGACACCCCAAAAGCTGTTAATGTTCATCTTATTTATTAACGTGATCTGTATCTATTATCTTTGAAAAACTCCCAGTAGTGTATATTCATAACAAATAATATAATGAGCAATTGTAAGCAAAAGAAAAACAAAACTATGCCCTTCCAAATTATGACATGTGAGCCAACCATTAAATCTTGAAGGCCTTACAAAACAAATTTAACTGTCTTCATAAAATATAAAAAATAGGAGCCATCTGTATTTCTGAGGAAAGGATATTTTAAGCAATAGGATAGTTACTGAGAAGTTTTATTTCTGAGTCAACCTTCAAAATCTTAAAAGATAATGAAACCCAAAGCATTTTCTATTTGATTAAATATATAGGATGGGTATATTGCATTGGCTAGAGAATGAAGGTATCTAGAACCTGAGCCATTTAGGATTTTTACATTAAAAAAGCACTTTGAAATGTACTACTTTTATATTTGTAGCCTACAGTATGCATGGACCATGCAGTCAGTGTCACAAGACTGTGGCAACTCCCTCATTTTGAGCCAATAATAGCTTCATCAAAGGGAGAGCATGTACAGTAATAGTCCAACAGTGAGCTGGTGAAAAAGAAAGCTATTGTAACTTATCAGTAAAACCCTCAGCAGAGTTATGGCAAGGAGTGTTAAATCCATAATTAGAAAGTGTTATATCTTTGATAATTAATGACTAGTTTTTACAGATAAAACCTGCAGAGCGTACACACCACAGGTACACATGATATACAGATATATTGCATAGTATTCTTAAAATTCATTGGGTAGATAGCTTCAGAATTAATGTATATGTTTTCTTTTCTCAAATCAGTTAGAACTGCTAACAAACAGTACGAGCTCAACATTAAAATAGTTTCTAAAGTCAACTTTATGTTATAAAGAAAAGTATAGCAACAGAATAATTAGCAGAAACTTATTTCCTTACAGGAAAAGACATCATATAAATATAAAATGATCAAGCCAATCAAAGTTATAGTGCATCTCCAAGTTAGTAATTGCAAAAGTTGGGGATAAAATAAGTTACATTTATTTTACATAAAACCAACAAAAGCCCAATATATGCCATAATTTCTTTAGGTGTCCTTCTACATATTCAATTTATTCAATATTCAATAAAAATGTAATTTAAATGTGGAAGTTTTGATAATTACTTATCATCTGAAAAGTATTAATTTCCTTGATATTTTAAGAAAATTATTAGGATGCATTTCAGTGTAGCTATGCACGTTCTTTCTTCTAAGGTTATCTAATATGAGAAATGAAAATATTTGGTCTATATATAATTCAACCAATTATAAGATAGCAAAAAATACCTGACACATTTGGAAATTTCAGGTGTGTGGATTGTAAAAATCTTTATCACCCAATGCCAAAAGTGTGTAATGAAGCATGCTCCTTTACTCTGAAAGCAGCTGACATTTCATAGATAAACTGGAATGTTTCACAGTACTAATTTATTTATTTATTTGATTTGTCAATCGCTTACAAGATAATAGGTATAAGTATAAACATAGTTATGAATGCATGAAATGGATACATATAAGAAAAATAAAAAGAAACAATAGGGCAGGGACGGTAGGCACGTTGGTGCGCATATGCACACCCCCCCATTTGTGATGATGTCCACCAAACTGGATAATTTTACAAAGGGATAAGACAAATTCAGTGAGGCTAAGAATAGCAATACACACATAGGTCAGAGACACTATATTCTCTATGTGTGTGTGTGTGTGTGTGATACCAGAATGAGTCAGAGGATGGTATAGCACATGTTGTGTCTGTAGACTTTCTTATTAACCTCCAATGGTAATCTTTCTGATAGACTAGGGAAGCCTTCAGCTTAATTCAATATAGTTTTATATTATTAATCATTTTCTGTCTCTCTCCTGAATGTACACATAGAGTATATCATGCCAAATTTGGGTGAAATAATATTGATCACTTAATAGAAGCAGAATTAGCAATAGAAAGACACATACAATTATATTGTCTTACACATTTCATAAACACTTACATAAAACTGAAAAATATTTTCCACTTTTCCACTACTGATTATTGTAGCTTTCATGTTGTGATCAGCACATCACAGAAGAAATTGTTAGACAATTTCTAATAATATTTTGATGCTTCTTGTGATAATTTCTGATTTTTAGAAAAAAGGTGTGTTGATTTTAATAATCATTATTTTAACACTTTCTGTGGCACTTCCAAAGCAGTCCTAGATTTCAATTACCCAATAATACTTTGGCAGCTAAGCCAATTTTATTTCCAGGACAGGCTGTGCAACCCAATTCTTTCTGTTATAAGGAAGCTCTGCAGAGTTTGTGGGCCATGTACACACATCAAATAATAACAACTTGGAACGGAATATTACATATTCTTTTAGGTCAGGGCTATCAAACTCATGGCCAGAGGGCCAGATGCATCATGTGCTGGCCATGTCCATGTCCAGTTTAACGAAGGGGGAAAAGTCACGATACATCACGTGACACCACTGTGATGATGTGAATTTGACACCCATATTTTAGGTGGCTCCTGAGCTGATAACAGCTTGGATAGATGACCAAGTGAATGATGGTTTTTTTGCAGCTGCTTATGATGCTGATCTGCTGAATTCTCAGAGGCAGAGAAGTAATAGTACTATCTCAAACTGCTCTGAAGAGATTATGGACTGCAAACAGTACTGTATAGAAGTAATATGTATTTGTTCCTTGAAAACAATAGCGACTCAGTGGAAGTAAACTAAGCCTAGTAAATGTATACTTGTACTTTTAGTTTAAAGCAAAACTCAAATGTGAAAAAAATTATCTTTAGGAGGTTATAAATGTCAAGCTACTGTTTTTTTAATCATTTTTTTAATCACTGGTTAAGAAACATGACAGGTCAAATACTTGAATTAAGGCTAAATATTTGAATTTGGGGCAATATTCAGCATTAAAAATACACACAATGTTATAAAATAAGAACAACTTCCTAAATAATTAGCAAGAAATCAACAATATGGCTAGAATGATGTAACTGGGAGACTTACTTATTCCAGGCTTGTCTAAGATTTTTAGCACTGTACTGTGTAAAGCGATCTGTAACAAAAAATAAGGACTTTTAATTTTATATCAAATATTTTCCTTTATTATGCTTAGTATTAAAGGCAATGTTTACAAGCTAACAAAAATATGCCAATAGTAAACAACAGCTTCTGAAACAAAATAACAAGAAAAGCAGGAGAGTATCCCATTACTTGTAAAAATAAATTGTCACCTAATTTCTAAAACCTAATAGCATCTCTGTAGATTAGGCAAGTGGAATCACTACTAAAAAAATCATTTATAACAACAATGGGCCAGAACAAAGTTGTTTATTAAATTTGTATAAGAATAAATTCCTTTACAGATAACTTGAAAAATTTTAAATTCAAAGTAACTACCATATTTTTTGCTTCGTAAGATGCACTTTTCCCCCAAAAGTGGGCAGAAATGTCTTTTACAGTGCTGAACTCCCCGTCTCTTCTGTCTTTGTTATTGTCTGTTTTCCTCCTCTAAACCTAGGTGCATCTTATGGTCAGGTGCATCTTATAATGCGAAATATACAGTATATGGAAACTACCAAGCTTCCCCGAAAATAAGACCCTTTCTTATATTTTTTTGCCACCAAAAAGGCACTAGGTCTTATTTTCAAGGGATATATCCCTTGACTGACTAACCTCCTTGCACGTATTGCCCCTGGCCTCCTTTTCACTGTCAGAGGCCTTCAGGAACTTCTTCTTCTGCAGCCAGCAAGGTTTTCCTGAAGGCCTCTGCAGCCAATAACAGAGCTCCAGGTCAATCTGGGGCTCTGTTGTCAACTACAGAAGCCTTTAGGAAAGTCTTGCCAGCCTTGCCGGCTACAGAAGAAATGGGCTGGTAAGGCAGGTGTTGGGGTATGTGAGACCTGGCTGCAACTGTCCAAAGGTAAGCAATAGGGCAGCTCCACCACCCCCATCCCAGATTAATTTTTACCTGTACACCCTGGAGTGGGCTTATTTTGGGGGTAGGGCTTATATTGGGTGCACATGTAAAAATAAAGCTAGGACTTACTTTCAGGGTAGGTCGAACTTCTGAAAACAGGGCATTGAATATTTAAAACTATTAATAATAAAATTCAGTAATTTAATTTATCTGTCAATTTGTAAAGATCTTGCACATGATAAACAATATAGAGACAGAGAGATCCGGTAACATTTATCTTGTAATGTGTACACTGTCAAATCATAAAATATTCCTATGCCTGTTTTAGTAGTTGCCATATAAAAGTGGGGGGAGGGAAGGAAATCTGGAAGAGCAGTGAAGCAGTTTGAAAGCGAATATACATTCTAACTCTTATCTTTAAAAGATTGTAATATATTTAATTGGAGAACGTGAATGATGACACCTAGCCTGTGAACATGCTCAATTGGAGAATCTGGTTTATGAGACACCCATGGGACAGGCAGAAACAGGGTCACGGGTGACTGTAAATTACACATTCCAGAATTGGCTTCATATAGGGCAGTGCCAGTATGTCGCCTGTAATGAATCCTTTGAAGTTTTTTGAAATTTGGCTTGAGAATCATGATTTAATTAGAGCGATTGTTAGAATCCTGACCTGCTCTTTAGCAAAAATACATTAAGAATATCACATATGCCTGATTCAGTCTACATCAGATTGAAGGCCTTATATTACAGTTTTTTATTCTTACAGTGACAAATCACAGCACAATTTTCCTTCCTGTACAATTTCAGAGGCATTTCGACCTGGTCCATCCAACTTATTAAGGGCTGACCCATGGTGGAGGGTAAACCATTAGATCTGGTTTTTGTCTTGAGGCAGTGACATTTTGAAGAAATTAACATTAGTCCCTTGTTACGGAAAGACCATTCCTTCTTTGTCCTCTTGGTCCTGGAGTTCTCCAAAACTGCTCCCCTCCACTGCAGGAAGTTGTTCTGTTAATCAGTCTGCCAGACATGATTGGGTTTAACAATTAAGTTGGATTTTCCCCCACCAAAATTGAGCTTGTATCAGACAGCCCTGGATCAGACAGCCCCTACTGAGGATCATATAGTGTCCCTTCAATTCAAGTTTATTGTACACATGTTGTGCACTGACAATAAAGGTTTGAATTTGAAGTTATCAAAAATCCATCTTTGGTCCTTTCTGTCCTAAATAAGTTTCATAGAGTTTTCAACCTTCTCCTAGACCTCTCCCCCTTTCTCTTTTAAATCTACATGAAACTGATGGGGGGGTGGGCGGAATAATCCAGCAGCATGATGTGGAGATGTATAACTCCTATCTGACTATCCAGGCATTGCTGTTCAGATGCTGATCCAGTACTTGGAGATAGTGACTCCAACTCAACATGGCAAGATCAAGTGGCCCTGGATTTTTGGCTCCCACTAATCTGGTAAAGTGTCATTTCCAATTCTACAATCCCACGGACAGAATTTATGCACAATTTCCTGGACTTGCAGCTTCTGCTTGTTAGTTGCTGAAAGCAACTGTGGCTAGAAGGGCCTTCATACAGATTTACAGTAAAGTCTCCCAGTTAATAAATGGCATACAAATTACAGTACATTCAGAAAGTATTCAGACACCCTTCACTTTTGTCAATTTTGTTATGCAGCAGCCTGATTCTACAGTTGTTGAAATTTTTCTCATTGATTTATACTCAGTACCCCATAAAGACAAAGTGAAAACAGAAGTTTAGAAACGTGACTGTTCTCAGGACATCTCTGAAAGTTGATCCTGTTTCTAATACCTTATTAGTCCTTAACTTACAACAGTTCATTTAGAGACTGTTCAAAAATACAATGGCACTGAAAAAAGCAACATGACTGTTTTCACTCTTATGACTGTTGCAGCATCCCCAAGCTCACATATTCAAAATTCAGACTCTTGGCAACTGACTCATATTTATGACTATTGTGGTGTTTCAGGGTTATGTGATCTCCTTTTGTGACCTTTTGACAAACGAAGTCAATGGAGAAGTCAGATTCACAACTCTATTACTAACTTAATAGCTGTAGTGATTTGCTTAACAACCATGCAAAAAAGATCATAAAATGGGGCAAAACTCACTTAATCATGTCTCAGGTAGCTATGGAAATTTTGGGCTCAGTTGTGATTGTAAGTCAAGGACTACCTGAACTACACTATTCTGCATTAAGCAACCTATTTCCCCACCAAGCATCAAATTTTTTCACTGGTAGTTTTGATTACTGGTAAGCAGGACTACAGCCAAAATGGGTAAAAAAATACTGCGATTTCTTATTGGAATTAGTTCCCCTATTTTTATCACTTTCTGCTCTTTTCCCCCCAAGTAACATGCTTCAGCTAACATATTTTTGCTAGCAGTTGCGTTAGAGAAGTTGCATGGATTGTAAGAGGACTTCTTGGTATAGTTTCTGTGCAGAGCAACTGTATTATGCAATTTATCAGAATGGAAAATGCATCATTTGTACTGAAATATACTGGAGAAAATCAAGGTAGTAATAATGTTCAAACTAAACTATTTTATTTAAATCACAATGAATGAGGCAATCAATCAAGTAGATTGCCAGTAATTATTTTTAGTACAATGGGCATAACCAATAAGACCTTAGCTGGAAGGAACCTTTTTTGGCCTTTCATGGTGAGTAGTGGGTTTGGATCACATGTTTACATAATTATATCAAAAAAATATCCCATTGAATCACATATAGGGCCACACAAAGAAATACAGAAGAAGAAGAAAAAACTGCTAAATGCTACAGAAGAATGTTATTTCTCTTTTCACCTCTCTCCCCAACTTTCCAATCTATCTCAACAGGTTGCTATGGGATATCATACAGTATATGCACACTGCTGCAGTGAACAAGTTATCTTGGGCTCTGAAAGTAGTAGCAATTACTCTAATAACCTCACTGAAAGGATTTTAGGAACAAACTTTGAAGTTTCCCACTGGGGGTGGCACTTTAGCTGCTGGTTTGTACAGCCTTATTAACAGGTCAATTTAAGAAAAGTAGATACAGAAGGTAGAGAACTGGAATCACCTACAGCAGGATTTTGTCCTGTTAAAAACATTCCAAGGAATTGGGTAGTTTTGAGAAAACATGAAATAGGAATTTTTATTAATCATAATATTTTACTAATTTTTACTAATCATAATATTTACTATTACAGATAGATAGTATTATTTAAATAAAAGAATGGTAACTTTACTGTTTTGTGGTTCAGTGGTTAACATGCAGGGTTTGTTGGCTGGAAAGCCAACAGCCCAGATTGCTGTCCCAAAGGTCTTGAAATGGAGATTAGCACTACCCATTATAGTTGGCTATCACAGGGAATCCTTTACCTTTTGAACTTTACTTTTCATTAAACTGAATGCAAAGATCACTGTTTCAAACTACTGTGTTTCCCCCAAAAGAGGACCCAGTCTTATTAAGAGGCATTAGGTCTTATTTTCTGGGAACGTCTACCACTGTCTTACCTTGCAACAACAGCACCAACAACCCTGCCCAGCGGGAGCCCATGTGGCCGCAGCCGGCTCACTTCTTGATAGTGAAATGGAGGCCAGGGGCAATGCGTGCAAGCTGCAGCAAGCCTCTGCAGAAGTGGGCCAGCAAGGTGAGGCAGGTGTCAGGATATTGTGCAACCAGGTGAAAGGAATGGGTGAGATCTTAACTAGGCATATTTTGCGGGTAGAGCTTATATTGGGCGCATGTGTAAAAATCAAGCTAGGGTTTATTTTTGGGATAGGTCTTTTTTCAGGGAAACACAGTCAGTTCAAGTGACAACAGGCAACATATTAAACATTTCATTTTAATTTGATTTTTAAAGCTCAATGTTAGGAATGTAAGTCACCTAACAGCTATTTGGGTTGGAAATATATAAACCAGGATAGACATTTTAATACTGTATCTTTAAGAAAATGCAAAACTGTAGTTGGGGGTGTTTTCTCAAATGGCCATAAGATGGAGCCAGAAACCTGGGTTGTCTTAGTCTTAGTCTCAGAAGAAGTCTCAGTGAGTCTCTGTTTCCTTGTGTTGGAGAATATTGCCGTTTCCTCTTGACTGACTGCTATTCCTGG